ACTCCATCCGCGGCAGCTCTGTCCGTGACTCTGTTTTCTCTCAGTAGTGGGTCACATTAAATCATTTGTTATGCCAAACTATGAAAAAAAAAAAAACTTACAAAAATAAACCTAAGTAACTCTGCCAGAGTGTGTCTTTTGGGTCACTTTGCCGGTCCCAAGCCCGGATAAAGGAGGAGGGTTGGTTGTAGAGCTAGCAATTTCACCCTACATAACAATCTTTTGATTACATTTGCTGTTATAACATTTAACAATACAGGACAAAACTGATGTGTGTAATGTGGATCTAGACAAAGCATTAAAATCATTAAATGTTGTTAATGTTGAAATTATTTTTGTACATTTGTAGTTCTAAACATATTTAGGGTGTTTTTACTCACTTTTGTCTCTCCCACGACCTTATTCCTCTCTCCTACAGCGTCCGTTACAGTTATTTGCAAATGGCAAATTATGCAAATTAGGCGATGACGTCATTTAGCGACTTCTAGCGACTTTTGGGACAGCCAATAGCTACTTTCCTTACTGAGGAGTTGGCAACACTGCTCTCTGACAATCTTTGTCTGAGTCCCCGTGTGTGTAAACAACTTCACATGCGGCTGTGCCTGGCTCACGGGGCACCGCTTGAAGATCCGTTTGGGGGACTGATTTCATACACACGTAGTTTATCCCCCGTATGTAGCAGAGACAAACCGAAGGCAGTAAGTTGCTAGCGTTCACCGTTCGCGAGTAAATTGATCATTTGCAAAACATGTGCGCCACCATCGTCGGCGATGGCATCGTCTTTTAAGGGTTGCATCCTGATAGAGTCATTGAAAGCTACCTGCAGTTTCTGAAGAGTAGCTTTTTTGTAGTTCAACCACAGATGTGCAGAGTGTAAAGGAGAGCAGTAGGCTTTGAATAAGGTCAACTTCACTTCAACAGTGCTGCAACCAAATTTACGCACCAAAGCATTCGCCCTTACATACAACAAACGATACTGCCGAATAATGTCCTCATCATCTGTCAACCAATCTGTGATCAAATGGCCAAGATATTTAATTTTACTACAGATATTAAGAACCTTTCCAGCGAGTCGAAAAGCCGGAAAGATTAAATGTCTGTCCTCTGTGGTTCTGCAGATCATAATGGCACTTTTGGAGTCATTGTACTTTACATCATGATTTTCCCCAAACACTGAACATATACTAAGAAGTTGCTGCAGACCAGCTGAGCTCGGACTAAAAATGACACAATCATCTGCATACATTAGATAATTCAGCATTGTGCTGCCAACCATGCAGCCAGTTTTACATGAGTTAAGACTATGAGATAATTCATTCATATAAAAATTACATAAAATGGGGCATAAGATGCTCCCTTGTCCTACTCCATTACTCACATGAAAGGGAGCAGACAAGCAGCTGTCCCATTTCACTTGCATGGTCTGTTGGGCATACCAATATGACAGGATTCTGACAATGTATTGAGGGACACCTGCTGCAACCAATTTCTTGAATAGTTTCCAATGATTCACTCGGTCAAATGCCTTAGACGCATCTAAGAAACACATAAAAACAGTTGAGTTTTTGCGCCTATAGTTGTTTAAAAGTTCCTTTAGGACATAAATACACAGATCCGTAGAATGTTTTGGTTTAAAAACAAACTGATTATCTGTAGAAATAATCAGTTCAAATTAGTTCCACAACTTTGGATAAAATATTTGCTAGAGCTATAGGTCTAAAGTTATCAGAGGAGCCCACTTTTCCTGCTTTATCTTTAATTACAGGAGTCAGTGTCACAGACATAATTAAATCTGGAAGATATGGATCATAAAGGCAGTGAAACAGAGTGCCAGTAACATACACAGTTTTTGGCTCGCATGTTTGAGATGTTCAGCAGAGACAGAGTCTGGGCCAGTTGATTTATTGCTGCCAGGTTTGAAATGGCTTTAGAAACCTCATTGTATGTGATAATTAGTTCCGCTATTACCGTAAGTTCTCAACAAAACGCGCACCGTCTTTTCCCCGATGCGGGCCGCTTGTTCATAGAGCTGAAAGATGCGGGCCACTTTACCGCGGTATTTCCTGTGTGAAGAAGATGTTTCCTGTGTGTGCTCTTCTGTCCAAATGGAATCTTAAAATTCTTTCTTGATTATGTCACTATACACAGCAACTATGGAAAGAATCCATTTAGTCTCCTGTGAATATAAAATCAATAGAAACCTCACTAAAAGAGAAGTGATCACCTTAACAATAACACATCTGGCTTTAGAAGAACAATTTAAAACGTTAATAAACTACAGTGTGGATGATAACTTATTACAATGTATCTGTGTGCAAGTATGTTTGTGTGTGTGCATGCGTGCGTGTGTCTATGTGTGGGTGTGAATGGTGTGAATATACAGTACGTATCAAAATATGTATGTAGAAGTATGCTTGTATAATTATAACAAAAGTAACGTTTATGATTGTATCTATAATAAAAAATCACATTTGCTCTACATACAATATATTTGAGATTACAATTGTGTAATTAGATATCTTAAGCTCATTTTGAAGATATTGCAATGCCTATATGTAACACTTGTATCCCAGTGACTCTAAAGCATATATTATAAATGGTGATTTTAGAGTAACTTGCCAAACCCGACTATAGGGGACAAGATTTAATCAAATAAAATGTCAATACTAATCTGTAAAAAGGGTGTTAGTGCTTCTCAAACTCTCAATTAAAGAACCACTGGGCTTCTGGGTTCTGGCCATGTAGGGTTTTATCTTTTAGCCACCAGAAGGCAGTAGTAGGCACATCATCTGCTCCTTCTGTTTGCAGGCACAGGACATCCTCATGGTCTTCACGAAGGAGAACGTTACCTGCATCATCCAGAGATCAAAAAGTATTTCCTCCTGGTATTGTATATACAGTTGGAGCTATACTGTACTGAAGTGTGCAAGTTTTTAAATGAATGAGAAGCAAGAAGATTCACAAAATGCTTGAACTTTATTAAAGAGAAGCTGTACATAATTGGTAACAGACTTGAACAGCTGTTTAATACTTAGAAATGTAAACAAACGATATCAATGACAAAATGGTAATAAGCATGAAAAAAATAAAAAAAATAACACACAACCGCTGTCCCACAGTTAGCTCTGTTGTCTCTGCTTTTCAGATTTTAATATTTTCAGTTCAAGTTTCCAACAGATCGGATTATCTGAGTTCCAGTGCAGACTTTTATGTTTACATAACCCCTATTACATATTTGAAATATTAGGCAACGAGGCCTTTAAAGTGCTCTATTTTAGCAAAAGGGTTTGAGAGCCTGGTTGATGGTCAGAACTCTACAGCAGTCACAACGGAAATGCCATGCTGATTTTCCACGGGAGCACCTGAAATGACATCAATGCCATTCATTTTGACCCTGAAAGGAGGAACTGTCTAAATATAACGCAGAACAACCAGTTTATGTCTGTGGTCCCTGTTGAAGTTAGTCCGGGTTAGCGCTGGAAATGTGTCTTTTTCATTAAAAATTTTTAAGCATTTTTTTTCTGTATAGTTTGTCATCAGAGAAGTGAATTTGAGAACTCACTAAATAGCAAACGTTTAGAAAATGTACTATATTGTGCTTTTTCTAAAATGCAAAAATTAAAAGAATAGGAGGCTAATAAAATACGTGAGTAAAAAAGGAAGAAAGTAAAGCACTACTTTAGTGTTTCAAAACCCCTCCTCATGAAAATGCTGGTAGATACATAGTGAGCTCCATTTGGCACAGGTACTATTTGTTCACTCCACTGCTTATTATATAGCTGACAACACAAATTTGCTACAATAACGAGAACACCAACATCTGAACTGGCTCAGGGCGGCTCCTGCGATTGTGAACTGTACAGAGCCTTTACCTGGACATCAAAATCCCAATGTGTTCATGGGAGAAAGCTTTACCTACAGCAACAATTAAAGAAAAAAGTATTCTCTTTCCAACACATGTTATGTTGACCAAATATCGATGCAAGCTGGTAACAAGTCCAGAAAAAGTCCTTCCGAGTCCACTTTCAAACACACACATACACTGGCTCTGTATGCGCGGCCCATTGGGGTGCATGCAATATATTCCCAAGATGCATCCAAAATCGTGTTTTCTTCATCCTGTCCAAGTGGCGGTGGTGCAGCACAACTCTCTTTCCTTCTTATACACCAAAAGTAAAAACATGAATCAGGACTGCAGTGTACAAATCGTTACAAAAACCTGTTTTGAAGTAGGACACGGTTGGCGTGAATACATTCCTTGGCAGCATACATACATTGTTGTTAATGGAGTGCTGATGTGTCTCTCCATGACAGTATAGGCACTGTGCTGAAAATGGGCAGGAGAAAGAACTAATAAACAGATAATAAAATAAAGACAGCTCTGAGGAGCCTGTACAGTAACGTTAATTAAATACACTAAAAAAAGAAATAAACAACAATAAAGAAATATCTTCTGAATTGTGAATTCTGACAGATCTTTTGAATTGTAACTAAATATGTACTTAATACTTAACCAAAATAATGAAGCTCGTCTCAAATCATAATTTTGATTCCGAATAATCTGTTATAATGCGTAGTTGGCAGTGAAATATCTGAACCTATAGTAGTACTAACAAAGTCCCACAGATGAATAGCTACTCAAACAAAATCAAATTATTCTTTCAATCAATCTCCAGATTTGTTTTCCACAGAGTGGGATTCTCCAATTCGTTCTAAATAAAAGCAGAATTGATTTCTGCTCTTTCTTCAAGTGGTTCCATTCTTCTTTCTTCACGGCTTCTTGTGAAGGAGAAGCACCAGTCTCCCACCTTCACATCTTTATATTTAAATATATGTTTGCATTGATTTGCATTGTTTCGGTGTCTGTCAGCACCTGCAGTCTTTGCCTCATGTATCACAAGGCTGTGGCTTTGAGCAGGTCCACTGAGAGAAGTTGACAATTAAAAAAGACTAAAAATATAAAACGAACATAGTTGGCCACTTCCGTTCAAGGCTGTGTTTCACACACAGCTCTCCTTGGTTTTACTGTCCGTGAGGAAAGAGCTTAACTGTGAAATGTCCACTACCACAGCGTCGCGCTTATTCAGAAGGATGTGGTCCTCGTCACTTTGGTCCTTGGCAAAATTTACAAAAACCTTCAAGACAAACAAGAATGGGTTAGAAGGTCTATGGTAATAATGTACCAGCTCAAATGAAGCAAAATCTTACTTGGTCTAACGTCGTCTGAGACACAGAGTAGTCCTCTATGCTGAGAGTCTCCTTGTTCTTGGACAGTAAGGAGAAGATGCGGGCGAGCGAGGTAAGGGAGGAGGGCAGCTGGTACTGCAGCATGTTGCGGTGTTTCTCCTTCAGAGTACTTCCTGGAAGCTCGTGCTCAATGAACTCCATCACCGGTCGAAGGTCGGGGTCCGGCCCCGCCACACGCAGGATGATAGTGTACCCATCACCAAATCTGTAAGAAACACAGATCATCATTATACTGATATGATTTACTTCCTGGTACATTATTAGTATGGATTAAAAAGCACTTACTTGTTTTTCAGGTGCTGCACGCTGCCCAGACAACGGAACCTGCCATTAACCATGATGGCCATTCTCGTGCAAAGTGCTTCACACTCTTCCATACTGTAAAAGATGTAACCACAACATGTCAGGACACTGTAAAAACAACAAAAGAAAAAGGAACAAAACTTCTAATATGTTACCTATGGGAAGTCAGGACAACTGATCGTCCTTCTTTGATAATACTCAGGATGGCGTTCCACAGAGCGCGGCGTGCTTTAGGATCCATTCCGGTAGTTGGTTCATCCTGCAAACAGAATACATTTGCTGTTTGAGTCACTCGTGTCAACAATGTGTGTGATGACTATAATGACGCTGAATTATCAACATTTACCAGAAAGACAACAGGAGGCCCTCCAATCAGAGCAATGGCTGTGGAAAGCTTCCTCATATTTCCTCCACTGTAGCTGCCGGCAGACTTATCCACATATTTGACCAAGCCGAGTTTCCGAATGCCCCACTCAGCCACCTTATGAAGAAAATCGCATTTAATAATAGGTCAGGTTTTAAAATGTATTCAGTAATGTACTTCAGATGATAATTCTGACCTCACAAACTTCCTTCTCAGGGACTCCTCTCAGAATAGCATAAAACTCAAGATGTTCTCTGCCGGTCAAGAGGTCGTTGATGGCATCAAACTGAGGGCAGTATCCCATGTTCTGGTGCACCTCGTCTATTTCTGCTGTGACACTGAGTTGAAGATACATACATGTTATTCTGGAGAATGGTGAAACAATGATGAAGGCTTCACTCTAACATTTCAAACTTCTTACCTCTTTCCAGCCAGATAAGCCTCTCCACCAGTGACCTCGGAGTCTCCAGTGAGCATCTTAAATGTACTTGTTTTTCCAGCTCCGTTAACTCCCAGCAAACCAAAGCACTGTCAAACAATCAGTACATTAGCCGTCCATGTTTTACTAGAAATTATGTAGAAGTAGCAGAATAGATAGGGCTCTACCTCTCCTGGGGGAATGCCTACACACAGTCGGTCTACCGCAGGCTTCTGTTTCCTCTTGTATATCTTTGTGAGCTGACGAAGCTCCAGGATGTCCGTCTGCCCTCCTCCACTGAGGATCCTCTGCCGCTCTCTGGCAACATCTTCATCCTCTTCTCCAATCGGCTTCAAGTGACTGGTGGATGACCTATGGAGGCAGTGAGGAAGCATGTCATTACAAGTCTGTTCAATTGTTAGAAATGTGGAATCAAAAGACACGGCAAGTTTTCTCAAAGCTCCATATTAGGTTCCATACAGTGTATCTTATCTTACATACAAGTTTGAAAACCTCTGCATAGATGGCAGTGTTGTATATGTATATACCTGGCTTTGATGCAGAAACGATACTGTAACAAGACAGTAATGATGAAGAAGACAAGGCCCTCGATTGCCATTGCAAACAGGTTTTTTCCCACCATATCCCAGGCCAAAGGAGAGCGGAAACGGTTTTCCCCTGTGACAAAAATATGACAGAATTAAGATATAAATACTAATTAATGGCCACTCCATAATGTGCTGCCATTAGAATATATTTGTGCTCACCAAAACGTTCAAGTGCATCAGCCATGGCCTGATTTTTCACCATGTCAATCAACCCTCGTCCCAGACAAAAGTGAGGAAAAATCAGGAAGACGTTCTTAAGGATGTCATTAATGCCGCCAATTTCCTGAAGAAAAATACACATATATATAAACATTTGAAAACACTACCTTTATTCCTAATTAGAACAAAGCTCTTGAAATTATTACTATCACAATTTAGCCTAACCCCTCAGAATTATACATAACTAATACATAACGTGGGTGCCATTGACAGAGTTATCAACTAAACAACAAAAACCATCTGCCCTAGTTTCTAAAATAGACCCTATACTCTACTTACATTGCTTCCAAACAGCTCCAAGACGAAAGTGGACACACTGCCATTGATCCCTATGAGTATGTTGACACTGGTCAGAACCACATAGGCCGTGCTCGGGATCTTAAAGAAGAACGAGGCTGGGTACATCAGAGGAGTGATAGACCACCTGCAGACAGACATAAATAGCGTGAGACGGAGCCCCAGTAATAAAGTAGATAAGCTGAAAAGTAGTAGTCTATGTTTACATGATACTGACCCATAGAGCAGGAGCAGAAGAGCCAGCACAGGGAGATTGGTGGAGGACACATACGCATCTTGTTGGAAGCACACAAAAATGATGATAACCAGAGTGGCTGGAACGATGTAGTTGCACTGTAATAAAGGGAGAACAACATTAATATACAAACTTTCTACAGTAAATCTGACATAAAATGGATTTCTCTGCAAAATTGTGTGACCAGAAAAGCCCATTTTTTGGAGATAAAATTTGAGTTCTTACCATGTCCCAGACAAAGTTGGCGAGCCAGTAGAGGAAAGGCTGCACTCCGCTGATAAACTGCAGATGTTTGGCTTTGTTAACTCTCTCCTGGATGAGGAAGACCACAAAACTGGCTGGGACAAAGGACATGGCAAATATAACGCAGATGGAAACCAGCACGTCCACCGAGGTTGTCATTCTTTGAACAGGTAAAAAGAAATTCATTACATTAGCCACTTGTAATCTAAAAAGTGCTTTGATATTTCTCTCAGTGAACTTACAGAGCTACTTGGGACAGCTGCTCTTTGGTGAGGTTGAGGGGGTGGTTGTGGGCCGTGATGCCAAACTTGGTGGGGTCTTTGCCGGCTGGTAGACTTGCCCTTAGGATACCGTTGTTCATCACATTCAGAAACGATGCAATGCTGTGCCATCCCTTGTTGTTAAACCAGATCTAGGTCGAGACAACAAAAACATGTAAAGACGTTTTTCAGAGGCACAAAAAGAGTGTTTAAAATATAATAGGAAATCATAGTGTGTTTTCATATCCAGTACTTTCTGTATAGGTACCAACCTTGACATTATTCTTGGTGTCTAATCCTCCGATAAAACTGGAGAGGCTGCGGAAGAAGCGATCTGCTGCTGTTCCCTGAGAATAGTGGGAGAGAGTGGACAGTTAAGGACAGGCAAACCGAATTAAACCAGAAAAGGTGAGTAGATTTTATATGTGTTAAATTTTATCTTGGTATTTCTTACTCTCTCAAGTCGGAAGCGCCTCCTGAGCTGAGCTATAGCTTCATCGATGTCATCTGTTTGTGAGAGAAGGTGAGAATTCCTTGCACCCAATGAGAATCCACCATATCTGTAAAAGCAGGAATGAATTAGTAAATATATTTCACTTCTTGAGGATATTGATATGAGGGGATATGCAAGACAATGTACCTGAACTCATTGACCCAAATCTTGTTTTTCAGGCTGAAAGAGAAAATAAAATAATCAGCAATTTTCTTCAGTCGAGATATTAACAGATTTGAATTAAAGCTGGAGCATCTAACATTCACACCACAGTTGTTATTTATGAAAAAATACCATTAGGTACCCCAGCTTTAGGAAACAGTCATAGTAATTATACCTCTTTCCAATGATTTGAGCGTAAGTTTTCACCAAGTAGTCGGAAACGTTGCGGCCAGTCAAATTCTGAAGTGTGTCCGTTTCACTGATCTTGCTCTACAAAAGTAAAATAAATTAATCAATCTTTTTTTTGTAGAGCGCCTTTCCTACACAAGGCAACACAAAGCGCCTCACAACCCATATCACATCAAGCATAAATCAAAAACATAAAAATCTACATATACATAAAAAAATATGGTTGAAAACAAGAAATGAGATCACAAGAAATACTTAAAACAGAATAAAATCACGCAAGTAATTAAAAACATTACAACATTAAAAATCACACACAAGATTCAAATCATAAATAGGCACAGTGCATTAAAAAGAGTAAAGAATCCTTCAGTAGTAAAGATAAAATCCTAATAATAACGTGAATTAAGTTATCATGTGAAAGGGCTAACCTGTGGAGGAGGCAGACCCCCAGCACCAGCGGGACACTCGGGTAACATCTTCTTCCGACCCCCGCAGCTGCAGCTACAGAGCGGAGATGGGTTCTCCATGGTCCAGTTTCCATTCTCGAACATCTCAGTGACACTCAGAGGCACCTCAGGGACTAACCATTCGTCCTCTACAGTTGTGCAGGGTATGTCTCTAAAAATGGTGGTGTGAATGAGTGATTATACGGTCCTGGCTTAACTATTCTACAATATTAGAGGTGCAACGGTTCATCACTGATCCGTGATCCGTTCGGTTCAACGTCTTCGGTTCGGTACAGACGTGATCCGCGGTTTGATTTATGAAAAAAAAGTTGTGCGCACGTTATTCAGTCCACACACAGCGTGGTCATTGCGAGCGGAGGAACGGAGATGCTTGAAAGCCCCGCGTCATTTAAATCCCCAGTATGAGAGCATTTTGGCTTCACTGATAATTAATATTCGACAAAACTGTCACGATGTGTAAGCACTGTGGCACAAGAAAGACATGAGTGAAAAAAGCGTCTCAACGACCGCCTATTGTCGCGGCATTTAAGCAGCTCCTTTACGCACAGTCAGACCGGGCTAAAGTCAACTCTCCCGCGCATCTTCAGCTGCGCTCACGACTGACGCTTGGACGTCCCGCGGAACCTATAATAGATCCATGAGCGGAACCGCTCACTTCATCACCGCAGACTGGGAGATGAAAAGTCTGGCGCTGCAGACACGCCCCCTCTACGACAGTCACACAGGCACACAGCGCAGGTTCTGACACAGCAGTGGAGGAATGGAAGACAAAGGCCCAGTACTAATATCCCAGTCACAACTGATAATGCCAAAAATTAAATAAATGCAGTGAATGAGGCTGGGCCCAGAATGGAGCGCCTCCTCGAATCAGGAAGGTGGTGTAATATATGAGAGTAAATATCCTCATAAAATGCCTTCTTATGTTGCACTTTGTGTTGTTTTTCATTAATTATGTTAAATAGACATAATTGGATGGATGGAATATTCCATCCATCCATCCATCCATTTCCTTCCTCTTAATTCATTTCTAGGTCAGGGGGGGCAGTCAGAGCAGGTGCCGAGTCCACATGAGCTGTGTTTATTAAAAAGACAACACTTTTTTTTTGAAAAATGAACCGAAAAATGAACCGAACCGTGGCCTCTGAACCGAGGTACGAACCGAACCGTGATTTTTTCAAACCGTTGCACCCCTATACAATATGCAAACAAAACTTACGGTATAGGTTCCCCATCCATGCAATGCGTCCCGAAGCCTGGTTTTTCTGTTAATGCTCTTTGCAGCTTGTTGATGTGTGGGTCCTCAGGCATGTCGTTGCTACAATAACCATTACATCACAAATAAGCATGGGTTCCTATTGTGATAATCAACGGCGGATAGAATGAGTCTTACCTGATGAAAGTGAACTGCTCTCCGTACATGCTGGGGTGCAGAGCCAGGCTGGGGTATTTTCCAAACGGCGGCACGATTAGACTAAACACCAGCGCGATGCAAACGAAAACTGCCGGAAGCACAATCTGAAAAAAAAAAAAACCATCAAGTCAAATAGAGTACATTGCTGCTATTACCCAGCACTTGTCTGAAATGAGAAATTGTGATAGGGCTGTAAGTATGGTTCTTTGGTTGATTAATCGTTCAGTGGTGTTATAAGAAAAGATACTGGATTAAAGCATTGCATCTTCACTTTTTAATTTATGTTAGTTAGTTATTAATGCCTTGTGTGATTTTAATGTTCCTTTCCCTTTTTTGTTAAGCACTTTGAGTTGTCTTGTGAATGAACAGTGCTATACATATACACCTGGTGCCTTGCGTAATCAACTAATTATTTGAATTTATTTTACAAGGATTTCTAACTGAAAAACTGTTGTAGAGTATTTTGGTATTCACATTAACATTCAGTCCAGGTTGAACCTTTTAATTAATAGCCACATATTTGAGTAAATTTCAGCCTATAAAGTTGTTTTTTCATGACATTTAAGTCTATTGACCATTGCAAAAATGTGAAAATACCTGTGCAAAAAATCCCTTCCTGGAGCGCTGTGCGTAGAGAAAACGCTTCCACAGCAAAGCCACAAACTGCTGCCTCTTCAGACTCCAGCCCTTGACCTGGTACGATCCTTTCCCGTCTATTCCACTCAGCCAATCTGTCTCGCGAGATTCTGAAATCACACCAGCAGAAGAAATACAGACCATGTGAGCTAAACTCGTCTCCTAAAATCAAATTGAATCCGTCCAATGCAATCACGGCTGATCTAGTTAGCTCTCATTACACTGCATGATGGACAGTTCACGAGGGATTACCTTCAGAGTCGTTGAAATCAAAGTCGTCCTCGGTGAAGGGTTTCAAGCAGCTCTGGTGGTCTCCAAAGGCGTGGCGACGGCGGGTCCTGGTCGGCACAACCCCATCTGAAATAAAATAAAAAGTAGTTAGGCTAAATCATTTTTGTGCAGTTCATTGTTCGGTCTGAAAATGTCTTCAATATACTATTTTCTGGCGTATTAAACAAAGAACTTTTTACTCTATACTTAAATCCTCTAGTATACCTTTAAATATTAGATCCTGTTTGATTTTCTACAACCTGAGTGCTCTGATTTCCTCCCCTTAATTTGCTCTGCCCAACGATGACATTGAAATTTCCCCACTGTGGGACTAAAAAGGCTCGTCTTATCTTATCTTATGAATTACCTGAGAGTTCGGCAGCATCCACACCACTATCTTCAGCCACTTTAAGGAAAATCTGCAGAAAAATAGATTTGTTAGTAGTAGTTTGACCCCCAAAGGATGATGGGACATTCGTTATCTCTGGCCTTTACCTCCTCTAGAGTTGTGTCAGAGATTCCATAGCTGGAGATTCCAAGATCTGTCAGGCGATCGTCCAGTTCGTGGAAAAGCTCAACGAAAGCGCCATCTTTAGCCGACTGATATGGCAGGATGTAGGTCAACTCATGTCCGAGGTCCTCCACCATCCGGGCATCAGGGACGTGCTTGAAGATCACGTTGGAGATCAGAGACACGTCTGTGAGACAAAAAGAGACAATACATATTAAAAACCAAGAAGATTGTATACTGGTGTTGTACCCAAGTGACTGAACTAGTAGAAAGACTATGTTCATTTAATAAAGAGGTAGCATAAGCATGTGTATGTGGGTTACAGCCCTTGAGGTGGACCTTCTGTCGGGATTTTTCCTTGTGAGATTTTGGTTCTGATTGAATGTTAATTTTACTTTAAACTCATACATTCTTTCTGTTGTGATTTAATTATAATCTAGTTTGCGTTACATAATTTTTCTGCCAAAAGCTACTTTTAATGTTTGTAAAATAATGGAAGCTCGTCTGGTAGTTTCCAAAAAAATAATGCTTTTGAATTGAATGTACCGGTGTATGAATTTTCATACCAATAGTAGTAGTTTCACTCTCTGGTTCACTGCCCAGTCCGGCGTCAGAGCTGCTTTGTGATACACTGTCCTCCTGAAGCAAAAGAGAAGTGTAGATTTAACAAAACCGATGCAATTTTACCTTATAATCATAACAACATTATTAAAAACCCACCTTTTCTGTTTTTTTGGTATAGGACACGGTGCTGGCAGAGTTCCTACAGGACTGCAGTGTTAAGTCATAGTCACGTTTGACCAGAGTCAAGTAGTAGCCCGTTCCCAGATGAGTTTTCAGAAAGAGGGAGGAGCCAACACAGCACAGTTTTCCATGGGAGATGATCGCAATCCGGTCCCCTAGAATGTCTGCTTCGTCCATGTGGTGCGTGGAGAGAATGATGGTACGACCTAAGAACAAAACAACACGGTTCATGGTACAGAGATGCTCATGGTTTGTAACGGATGGAATGGTCTTTACAGCTTTGGGTTTTCTTCTGTGGCCAGTCTAAATTGCCTTCATGGATATTCATGGGATTAGGTTTATCATTTAGATAAAAGTGAACACACAGATTCTTTTTTACATCTGTTGTTATTTTGTGAGCATCTTTGAAAAAAATATCATTTATATAGTAATAATCAATATGGGCTTGCAAAGTCGTTTTCTCCATCTTCAAAAACCCCGAATATTGACCCCATATCTCTAATGATGTTGTCTCTACCTTGTCTGTACTTCAGCAGAAGATCCCAAATGCCTCTACGTGCGTACGGATCCACCCCGGCAGTGGGCTCATCCAGGATCACAACCTTCGAACCCCCGACAAAGGCGAGAGCTACAGACAGTTTCCTCTGCATGCCACCTACGACCAAGCCACAATCAGGTCAGAAGAGTCCACAATGATTTCAACAAGAAAGACTTAAGTTATGCAACTGACCGGACAGCGTGCTAGTGCGAGAAGTGCGTTTGTGCGGCAGCCCCACGTCGTTTACGATCTGCTCCATTTCGGTCTTCACTTTCTCCTCGGGTAAACCCTTGAGACGGGCGTAGAACCAGATGTGCTCCTCCACAGTCAGCCTTGGTTAAATGAAATATAAATGAATAACTTTGTCCTGAGTTGAACTATAAAAAGTTAAAAGATGAAATATTACAAACTCTTACATGCTAAAAAGCACATTGTGTTGAGGGCACACTCCGAGATTTTGCCGAATGGTGCTTAGTTCATTGCGGATGTCCTTCCCAAGAATGTAGGCTGTGCCAGAGGTGGGTGGGAACAGTCCAGTCAGAATGGACCTGTTGATAACAAAAGAAGACAAGTACAGTATTAGCAAAATATTCTGGTTATGGCACTTTATCAGTCCTAAATTTGAACAAACAATTGCACTACTATTGCCACTGTTTCTTTAATTGCCACAATATATCCTGAACAGACTATATTTTTTGCCTTTATATGTTTTCAGACTCTTTTGCACAAATCTGAGTGATTCTATCTATGCCAAATGTGACATGTAAATTTCTCCTGTGTGAGATCAATGAATTGTATCTTATCTTAAGTAATAGAAACATGAAAAAGCTTACATTGTTGTAGTTTTGCCAGCTCCGTTATGACCAAGGAAGGAGGTGATCTGCCCTTCGTAAAATCTCAGACTAAGTCCATCGACGGCAAGCTTGTTTCCATGGCTGTACACTTTAACCAGATTTTCGATGTACACGCCAGGCTCAATGTGACCAGGCTCCTCCTCAATGCACAGATCTGTGAATCATGAATTAAAAATAATAAATATACAGCAAGTACCTAAATGCAATGTTTGAAATTAAAATATTCACGGCTGATGTGTGTACCTTCAGGATTGCTTTTCTGCGACTGAGAGCTCGACAGGTTTCGGTTTTCTTTCTCTCCGCACCAGTATGTACGGGTAAAAGGGAAGTACCACGGTCTGGGAATGCCGTACTGTCCGGGAAACACAGCCTCAATGTACCAGGTCATTATTCCATAGAGCACTGCGTCGAACAGCATGAGGAAGATGGATGTCGTCAAGTTGTAGCTGTCCTCCTCCAGGGGACTGGCCAGCAAATTGGACCACTGGATCCCCACACCCTGCTCTTCAAATAGGGCAAAGTACTCGCAGCCAAAACCAAAGGCCACGGGGGACAGGAGACTCTGCACAGACATTATAAAAAAGAGGCTATATGAGAGTCGAAGATATATAATCGGTTCAGAGAATATCCTGATTTGGCCTTTCATTTGTATTGTAATTGTATTGACCCAGAATGGTATAATTTTACCTTAGACCTATACAAAGTTGTTCTGCAGTTATGTACTTTAAATTACTTGTAAGTAAGTAAGTAATGTTCATTTATATAGCCCCTTTCACAGACTAGAGTCACAAAGCGCTTTACAATTGTTGTTACATTTGTCTTTCACTCCGCACAGAGAGATGGGAGCAAGAGCTTAGATATATAAAGTTTAAAACCCATTTTGTAACAGGCTAACCCTGAGATGTGTTTGGAATGGAGAAAATTGCAATTTTTCACTCCCTTCGCTGGTATCTGTTCAAGTATTGTCCGATAATGAAAGCTGAAGTATCAAGATCAAGATGAGAAATTAAAAAGATCAGTGGGAATCATGTCACAAACTAAAACAACTGCTTACTCTTCAAATCAAAACTCAAAAAACACAAATTACTGGCTTAGTAGCACAGTCCTTTTATTGTCTTCTGCCCTCTATTGTCTTCTTGTTATGGCAGTACACAATCCAAACAAAGTGTATCATTATTGTGACTGACCAAATCAGAAGGTAGACAAGAGACCAGTTGCAACCAAGTATAAATGTGTAATAATTTGTCGACATACCACAACAAGTTTGGCTCCATATCCCACGTAGTCTTGCCAGGCCACGCACAGCACATAGGGAAGGTAGAGGGTGAAGTAGATGATGCCTCCGCACGCTGCAGCGAGGTTAGCGCGTGAAAACAGCGTGCTAATCAGGAAACACTGCATTATTGTGACCACTCCAAACGATCCCAGAAACAGGAATACCACCCCTGAGTCACTGTAGGGCAGCAGGTTTCCCATCTGATAGGACAAAGTAGAGTAGTGTTAAATAGCGTTCTGGTGATGGCATATGTGTACGTGTGATTTTTTTGTTTTTTGTTTTGCATATAACGTGGTCAGACAGCTATGCATGACACCATACTGACTTAATGGATGTTTTAGCATTCTCAAGCACTGATCTAATGTTAGCGACGCACACTTGTTTCCAACACACACCTTGAGCAGAATCACCAGCAGACCAGCACTGATGAGCAGTGGTATTAAGCTGCTGATGAACCAGCTGAGCCATAAGGTGCCGTTGTTCAGTCCCATAATGCGCATAGTCTCCTTGAGTCGTGCCTCTTTCTCATAAACCACTCCTTTGATGATGATGGCCACGGAGTACATCCACGCCAAGGTCATGAAAAGCGGCATGGAGCGGCTCATCACGCGGAGAAACCTGAGAAATAGCAAACAGATCAATGACATTTCTATAGGCAGCTTGGAATAATGTTGTCATATTTAAACAGAGATGAGTGCTTACATGTCATCAACGTAACATGGGTAGGGCATCTGCTGAATGTAGACTCCAGTTCGCTCCTTGCTTCCCGTGATCGCTCGGATTATTCCTTGTTCGATGACGTCCTGCAAGTAGGTAAACCCGCCCCAGACGTATCTCAGATCCTCAAAGGGGTCGGCTCTGGGACCTGGATCCCAATAACTGCAAAACAAATGAAACAGTTATACATTTACAGCAGCAGCAGATGATTTTACCAAACTGCAAGAAAACGCCTTCTTACGCGTCCTTGATCTTGTTGGTCCTCTCTACGTTGTCGATGTCCATGCGGATTTTGTAGTTGACGTTGGGGGGCAGGTCCGAGCTGCTGCTGCCGTGGGTGATGTCCGGAAACACAATTCCCGCCCAGAACTTTTGGTTGTTGAGAAGACCCATGGACTTGTTCACCAGCCGCTCCTCGTTGGCAACCGGCTCGAGCTTGTCCAGATTCACACACTATTGGATACAACAATAAATTATGAACACAATTTACATAAACAGGTAGAAGTGATTTGAGTTTATTGCCGGTGGAGTCATGTCCAGTTGTTAACATTACTTGACCTTTCAACACACATACTGTTATTTGTGCTAGAATTCAATGTAAACAAGCTCATAACTCTACACAAACATGACTTTTATAGCCCTAACACAGACTGTGAAGCGAAACCCATTTGACAAGTGTATATTAACCACGGTAAATCCTCAAGAGTAAGTCACTGGGTATTGTTCATATCTATTTCTTTTTACACGTAGGTCAGTGAAAAAGGCTTGATTAAATGCTTTGAAAAGAGCATGACATCTGATTAGTACTTGGCAGGGCTTTAATGGTGGTAGTTGTTTGGGAGTTAAGCTTGGCATTGCACACTGACCTACAAAGAACAGCACTGTTATGCAATAAACACCACACTAATTAAATTTGACTGAGAAATGCTCCAAAGAAAAATTGGATTTTCAGACATCATTATCAGAGATTTTTCCATGAATGACATATGAGACTACTCATTACATCATATTGACCTGACCTAGAGAATTAGCATTTAACCTACATCACCGTGAGGCGTCTTGGTGACCTACATTACAGCGTTTACCTACGTTTAAATTAGCTGTATTAAGGAAAGTCTCTAGAACAGTCACGAGCCATGTCCTATAGGAGAGCAAACTGACCTCCATGAAGCGGGAGATGGTCTGAATGGCCTGGTCGGTCTCGTTGAAAACCTCTCTCCAGGTGTAGGCTCCCGTAGACACTGATTCTGACACTTTGGACAGAAAACGAGCCACGTCGGACACTTTCCACTCTGTGCCACTCAGCTGGATGTTGAAGAAGGAGGCACTAGCGTTGTTTTGCAGCAATGTCTGGGGGGGAACAAGGTCAATTTAAAATTACATTCAATTATATTATAAACAAAATAATAAGATTAAGATTAAGAAATCCTTTATTTGTCCCACAGTGGGGAAATTTCATAATAGTGAATGTGGTGTGGCTTTTTGGCCTCTAATGCATTGCCTCAAGTCAGCTGACCACCTGTCTCATCACGTGAAGCCCCAAATTATTCTTATTTCAGAGGAATCAATGTAGGTTCAAATAGTTTGTTTGTAGTCAAAATCCGACGTTGTGCCACTTTTACAGACATTTGAAGGAGCCTCACCATGTCTTTGAACATCGCAGTATCAGTATTGGCCACTAGATGGAAGCTGATGCAGTGTTTTGTTTGCCAGAAGCCTATTATTTACTGACTATGGTGCACATATGTGGTTTCTGAAGACAACCCAACGCTGTATTAAACACTACAGTTTGATCCCCTTGGTGTGCCAAAGAGTAATTTTTGTATCCCTTCTTTTTGCAAAATCAACTGGATTACATGAGTTAACTTAATATTGTTGACACTGTTCTTTTGTGATTGCAATCCATGTCACGGTACATGTTTTTTTCCCTAAAATTTACAAGTAAATCCATGGAGCCTTTTTGAGAAGAAACTTTTCTTAGAAGGCTACTCCAAAGACACAATTATGGTGGAGAACAACTGTAAACAGGAAAATCATTTAGACTAGACTTCAAGTGTGACGCCAGTGTAGAGGACCCACCCTGACTAAGTCCATTTCCTCGCTGTTTTCCATGAAGTTCCAGATTTTAGGTCTCATTTCTTCCCACATGCCACCAAGATCCCGCAAGACACCAAGCTCCTGGAAGGTCTTATTAACCTGCAAAATGACCACAACATTGGAGTTTATAGATGACTATTTTCAGCGTAGTCCATTGTTTTAATAATATAGAGGTTAATACTACCTCATGGATGATTCTCTGTGTTGCTGGAGTGTCTGGCGTGTACAGGATCTTGCCCATCAGCAGAGGCTTCAAGGCCCTCCAGATCATTCTGGAAATAGGGCTGGACTCAAGGTTCCGCATCAAGTTGTTGCAATATGGAGCTGGAAAATCAATATCAATATATTCATTGTCCATTAGACGTGCATTATCTGTGTGATGTGATGCTTCTGAGAAGAAATGCCATTATGGTAATGTGACCCCGTCGATTCATAGAAATAATAATATGATTCCAAATAAAAACAAGATATGAAAAAACAAGCAAAGCAAAAAGACTGAATTAGTTAAATGGATATGGATACTCGTTCAGATGCTTACTCTGAATTATCATTAAAGTTCAATAGTTGATATGTTTTGAAGATGTGCAACATAATATCATGTTTAACGTCTATAGTAAAAACTAACCGACTAAAAGTGCAAAGTGCAAATAAACTCCTCACACATGCACATTGTGTACAAATCCTTTGTTTCTGTGGTTTTACACTGAATGTAAATCATGAACCTCAAACCCGGCAGCAGCTTTTAGCTCAATGATGATGGATTTTCATGTCATCATCTAAATGATTGTATCAAAATATTCCCGATATAAATGAATATTTTCATTCTGGTCAATAAAATACTATAACAATAATTTATTCGCCAAAAAACTATGGAACATGGAATTGTCATAACAACACAATTTCTTTGAATCCATTAGCTGATTATGTAAAAAACTTTTTCTTTTGATGTTCGAATGTTTTAATATGTACTGAAGAGAATCAAGGCAATGTTAAATCATGACTTTTTCTGTATTATTTTAGAAGAGCTGTGGTGGATCATGCAAAATTAGTCCGAGTGCATAATTCGTGACTCACTTGAGGAGTTGTCGTACACCGAGACAGGTTCTGCGTCGCTGTCGTTGCCATGGTTTCCAAACAGGGCCTTGTAGTTGTTGTCTTCGTACCAGTTGAGGGACTTGATCTTGAGGCCCCCGCCCTCCGGGTGTCCGCACACGATCCTGGACACGGCCTGGTACATCTGGTTTGGGGAGCCGCTGGCGTTTCCAGTGAGATACAGAATCTCTCTGCGCATGTCCTTCCAACTGTCCATACGGCCGAGCTGAAGGGACACAAGCCACAGGAATGTAAGGAAATGTTTCGATACAAGCATGACTCAATGGTTAGGGTGGTTAGATACTTAGGGATAAGGGTATTAATAAAATGGTGAAGAATGCGTTTCGTGGCTTATCACCACATGGAAGACAGGTAAAAGACGTCAAAGGATATGTTTGATATCATTCAATTTACAACAGAGCCTCTGTTGTAAATTGAATGATATCAAACATCACCTGCCAACATTCACAAGTTGCAGGGTGTTAATTGAGGGTCAATCTCTAAAATACTTGTATATCTCTGTGCTTCAGGAATTTATAAGCAAAAGGGGTCTGAAAAAACTGCTGTCTTTGAGTAGAACGGGAGGTCTGGTCAGCCGAATTGAAGAATGAAGAGTTAAAACTAAGCAAAGACCATTCAAACTATGAAATTGGTTTGGCAGCAACTCAAACTCACTGCACACCAGGAGTCTTTGTTTGGATGACAACAAAGAGGCAAAAACAACAATTAATAACCGATTATGCAGGATCTTACATAAATCCTTTCTGGTGGAACATTATCTTTAAGCTCAAGTTAATAGTAGTGCATCGGTTTTATATTGTTGGACACTCAAAGACGCTTCACATATCATTATTCTTTCACTCCATGCACGGTGGTGATAAGCTGTAGCCACAGCTGCCCATTCACGCATCCACCAGACTAGAGCGAACACAACAACAGTTTAGCACTTTACAGCCCAGCCGCCCCACTTTGGCTCCTAGTGTTCCCAGAGGTCTCCCATTGCAGTACTAACCAGGCCCTGCCCTACTTATCTTTAGAAATTAGGCAAGATCTGTCTTGCATTTATTTGGCTATCTCCTATCACAACAGAGCCTGTGCATTTAAAATATGTGGAAGTGGACGTGGATGATGGGAAAGGTTTCGAATGACCCTGTTCTTTTTGCTCAGACGTCGACTACTCCAGGATGGAGACACCGCACACTCATGATCTTGCCTCGCTGGGATACATTTAACTTGTGGTTATCTGAACCCTCTACAGGACTGAGTGTGAGTTTTTGTGCAGGTCAGAATGCCTTGTGTTGCTAATGATAGACTTACATACAAAGGAGTTTTACATAAGACCATTACATATTCAGGGCATAACTAAATATTGCAGCTTGTATGCATTCGTACAATGCTACATCTGTGTTGCAGCAAAAGGAGATCACATTGAGGTTAATGTAGGGCAGGAAACAAGTCCATGCAAGTTCCCAAAGATGACTCAAAACTTGTCATGAGCAAGAAGGATAGAAAGTAGGAGGACACATTTTTGTTCAAGAAACAAAGAACTGAATACAAATGAATTAAAGCTGAGGTACCCAACTTTTCCCCTCATAAAAAAATACAAATTGGTCTTGTAAAAACTATAATTAATATTTGTGAACAAATCTGACCAGAACATGCTGGTCTGATTTTTTATCTTAATAGTTAACATTAATTTTTTAGTGAACTTATAATAAAGCCCTGTGAGAAATGTGGCCTGTCTCTTTTTCCCTTTTCTGTCACAAGAAATCAATCTAAAGATGTGACAGAGGCACATTACATGTAATTGAAAACCAGTGATCGAACTAGTTACATGTATTTTATTTACTACATTGTTCCTCTTTTTAGTTTGAAACTCAGATACCCCAGCTTTAATATCAAGCTGATGGGCTGTTTTTTTTCAATTGAAATGAAAATATGTGAGATAATAAGTGAGAAAACCATGCTGTGTTGTGAGACAGACGAGAGGTGTTATCGGCGGCTCCCAGAACAAAGAGTTACTATCGGTCATTCTCCTCACAGGCAGCCTCCACAATTACAGCTCTATTATATTCAAACTGTAGCTACCTAGCAGTTGCCAAACAAGAGATTTTATTTCCTCCTGGATTGAATGAGCCAATAGAGGCTGCTGACAATAATAACAGTCTTGAGGAATTGAGCTTTTTGAAGGGTTTTTATGCACTCATTTGTTTGCAATTAGAATGGGCAAGTAGCACTAACTTTCCTCTGGTTTCCAACAAGAGCGAAAGTGACACCCACAAAAACACTGTGGTTACTGGCTGCACACAGTACTGGTGTCCCATGACTCTCACACAACTTACTATGCATGCTATAGTCTAGAAAAGTAAAGTTTTGGGAGTTATCTGCTCGGAGCAATGCTAAAGCGATAAGTGGGGCATCTTAAACTCTGCCAGTGTTTACTCAAATTACTCTGTGTATTTACTTCTGTATGTGACTTAAGTGCAGTGTTTGTCATTTGCCTGCAGCAACTGAAAAGGGTGTCAGTGGGAGCAGGAGGGGCCAGGTGTCTATGCATACATCCTTCCAGACACCATTTAATAGGCTACAAGAGGCTTATGAGTGCCTCTGAGTTACCTCAAGGAGCTATTTGAGAGAGGTAACTAGAGTTCAGCTCTTAGACCAGAAGAGCGTCTTTGATCGAGAGAGCTTAGTCTCACATATACACCAGTGCAAAACATGGACAATGCTGGTACTGCAAACTGTCCTGGATTAACAAAGTGTCCTGGAGCAACTTGGTAAAGCATAGTCTACAAAAGATGGATGCTTTTTTCATGTCTGATTGCTGAAAAACCTCTTCTGGAGTACCTAACTTTGTTTTGGTTTCATAAATACATTTTATTTGTTTCAACAGAAAGAGTCTTATTTAGATATAAAGTCAGGACCACAAAACTCTGTTTTATCTTAATAGAAAACCTGTTATCTTTTGCATACTTAGAGCTGATTGGGAGGGTGACTGTTGGTACTCTCTTTTTCCATGAAAAAGCTGATATAAGGATGTGACAGAGACCAAAATTACATGATTATGAATTATATCATCATCTGAATATCCTTCAAAATAGGCCAAACCAAACATGTGAACCAAACTGGGATTTTACTACATAGTGTTTAGTGGTTTCAAAGTTGTAACTATTAGAAAACATACTTTCTAAAGTAGCAACATATTATTAAGGCAACCACGACCTAAATATTTCACTTGTGAATGATTGAACTCTGCAGGCATAAGACGTTCCTCTAACCCACAGTAACCTGTGATAATCTCCTTGAAGTAAAACTAACAAGTTAAAAGGGAACCAATCCACTGAGTAAGCATTAGGGTGAAACATTCAACGCCTTGTACTAGGCACATTACTACATTTAAAATAAAATGAAACCAGTAATCCTATTAGTCTTTATGTAATTCACATATTTGAAATGTGTTGACCATTGCACAAACACTGGACAAGAATGACTTTCACCTGGCAGAACACTAGGTATTAAACCTGACTAAACAAACAGGCCTAGAACTAGAACAGGATAAAGTCTAAATAAAGTGTTCAGTTCCTGCTCACTTGTAAATACAGCTGGGCCTTGAGTTTTGCCACATCGACAGAACATGATCAGGAGTCTGCAACATGATCCTTCTGCTGTGCACAGTTCAACACTGCTTTGTATGATGGTGGTACTACACGTGACGCACAATGATCTCAACTAGACTTTCCAGCATTCAAACCATTTTTTATTGTTTAAAAAAATAATGCTTTCTTTACTTCCATACCTTCAGTAATTTAATAGAGAATTGATCTCATTCCAACCTACAGATGATACATTCATAGAATTCATTGATTGCATCAGATCTGAACTTTGAAGTCAAACAGAAGTGGTCCGATCGCGTGTTGTATCGTGTGTATTTACCTCCACGGCCAGAGCACCCAGACTTTCCAGGAGATTATCGGTCGCTGTTGAAACATCCTGAACCACTTTAGGATCGGTCTTCACGTCTTTCTGTGGAGATGAGTCATCATAAATAAAGTTAGTAACACAGAACAATCACATTTATGATCAACTCAGAGGAAATTTGATGATGTATTCACGTCATCAAGTAGGATTCCAAGTATTAAACAATAATTGAGTGGCCTAATAGAGAAGTAAACATATTATGTCACACAATGATTCAATAGTCATTGAAGCATAAATATCTCTGCTATAACAGACTGTTTATGTGTTATCCTAATTGGCAGTCTGCACAAGAAGAGCCCTATTCTATTCAGAACAAAACAAACAAAAGGATATATTCATGCAGGTTTGAACCCAAAAGGAAAGAAGAAAAAATCATTCACCAGCAATTCTATATTCTGAAAATTACTATAGGAATATTTAGTACAACAAATACATGTGAACCTTGGGCCTCATTCACGAACGGTTCTTAGGAACAGATTTGTACGTAAATCCTACTTACGCGGTTTTTACGAAGAAAGTGGCATTCACGAATATTTCTCGTAACCAGAATTTCACTTGGGCAAGTACAAATCCTACGAGTCCTCAGGAGCACTCGTACGCATTCAGTGCCGACATGTTCACACGCCGGGGTTGTCCTCTTTGGTGAAGTTGAATAAAAATACAACATTCCAGTGATATGTCCGTCATATCGATGTATGTATTTATTTATTTGTAGTAATCTTTATTAGTAATCTTTATTTATATACCGCCTTTTTCACTGCAGATCTGGCCTACTTTTTAATTCATTTTGAAATGAAATGTGCCAACGCTTTATCAAATACATTGGAAATCTTGCCGTGTATTAGTGACCCCTTCCTATTTATAGGGGGCATTTCTTTATCCACGGGCCACAGAACAACGGCATATATACTGCTGCTGCAGGAGGTTACTGGGTCCGCGCTGAGTCTCTGCGCTGGTCTCTCCCATGGATCTATACGGGTCTGCACTGGTCTCTCCCATGGATCTATACGGGTCTGCGCTGGTGTCTCCCATGGATCCATACGGGTCCGCGCTGGTCTCTCAAGTCTGGTCTATGCGGTCTCTCTTCGGTCCGCGCTGGTCTCTGCGCACCGGTCTCTCCAGTCAGGTGTCTCCAGTCTATGCGGTCTCTCCTGTCCGCGCTGGTTTCTGTGTGCTGGTCACTCCAGTCTCTCCTCGGGTCTGCATTGGTCTCAGCGCTGGTCCGCGCTGGATCTCCTCCCAGGGTCCAAAATATTTTGAGATTAATCTCAAAACATTTTGAGATTCATCTTTAAAATAATACATAATATATTTTTAAATTAAGCTCATAACATTTTGAGATTAATCTCATCATATTCTTAGATTAATCTCATAATTTTGCTAGTTCGACTTTATAATCATAATATTTCGACTTTTAAGTCAACATTTTATAACTTTATTCTCAGTCTGGCAAAAGCCTGCTTTAGGCCTGTTGCTGTTTCCTCTGGCGTCTGCACACGGCCCTGCAGTCCCTTATATGGGCATTAGTGGGCGGTTACTTATGCTAAGTACCTATGGTAATGAAGCACCGGGCACGCGCGCCGTACTTACGAGGAAATGGGATTCATCAATCTGAGAGAACAGCTGCGAACACTTCAGCGGCTTACGAGTGCGTTGATGAATCCCACGTGGGGACTTCTTAGAAATCTACTTAAGGACAACTTGAGAAGAAAGTTGAGTAGTTTCTTACGAAGTTATTCGTGAATGAGGCCCATTGTTCTGTAAATTGACCTCAAATGTGAGATAAACATATGATGGACTCATTACTTGCAAAGTGCAGAGTGACATATAAACAATTTTTATGATTATGGCTTACTGTCTGTTTCCACATTTTCTGTGATTATTTTAGGTTTTTACAAAGTGTGAGCCATAACTATTACCATTATAACAATTAAAAGCTCACTTATCTCACTTTGTGTCATATCTTAGTTTTACATTGTACGGTGAATACCAGGAGCAGATAGACTTTTGAACGATATTCCAATTCCACCTGAATGTTTAAATGAAGCGGCAAATAGTGAGAAGAGGTCAAAGTTTAAATCGATACACAATCTTGAAGCATGTGTGCGTTTGACCCCAGCATGTTCCTGTCAGCGCGACCACTTGTGTTTTTGGCGCTCTGAGAGTTTAATATCATCAAGATGAAATAAATGACTCCAAAGAAAGCAGAGCTCCCATAAAGTCAAACCAGAACAAGACCTAAAACTGTGGAAATCCCTTCATTACTCAATGTGTGAAAAACTAAACGGAATGTGTTTAGTTAAGAACACTCGTTTGTTTTTTCATGATTGCATCAAACAGGCAGTTGTTGAGAAACAAAGTGCAAATTGTGGCCTTGGTTTTACTCCATGCCAGAAAGAGGAGGTGGGAGTAAGGAATGTAAGGAAAAGGTTACACAGTGACGGTAAAGTAGCAAAGCTAATCTAACTCGTCAAAAAAGAATTGATTGCTTTGTGTAAAACTGTAAACAACCACAACTACTACAATTTTGACACAACTTACTCGAACGGGTTTGAGGAAGTCCAGATTTGAGAGGAAGTGGCTTTGTGCTTTGTTTAACCACTCGCTGGAAGATTTGCAGATGATTTCTTGGATCCTTTTGGAGACGTTGTGGTCGGCAATATGTACAAATTCTTCCAAGGGCGTTGTGTTGCAGAGATCTCTGAGATGGAATCCAAAGCCTTTGGTGAGCACCTAAAAGCAAGACAAAGGGAAATTACTTCAATGTTTCCCAAAAGACAGAAGAACTTTGAAACATTACAAGAATATCATTTGTTATCACGTTCACATGAGATTAGCAAACAAAGCTGTCACTGTTTAGATGAGGAGACAAAATGTATTTTTCGCTGATATGAAAAAGAACAAGACAGCTACAATTCTTTGTATGTTCCTCTAACGCATCAAGATGTTACGCACGGCTGTTAACGATGTCGACGATGAGAAAACCAAATGTCCTTGACCAGTCTGTGTTACTTTCTCAATCTATTTAACGAAAAGCTCACTGCATGCATATCCTACATAACAACAGGGGATATAGTGCATTTTGTGTCACTCAATAATGTATGATATTTTATACATTTTATACTTGCTCCTTATGATGCTAAAGTCAGGGATATTTGAGTGAGTCTTGCTTCTTCATCATGCTAAAGATCAATCCTTTCACCCTTATCGAATCAAACGCCAGCTAAAAATGACAGATTGTGTGTCTGCAGAAGATCCAAATACTTTCTGTGATCAATGGGCATCTCGTGTGGCGCAGATGAAATGTGGCTTTTGAACAGAGCGTGCACGTGTTTCGGAGAAGAGGAAGGGGCTGGGGAGAGAGTCATGTGACCGGAGCCCACCAACTGCAGAGAGGGGACTGTGTGATATATGCAGGGTGAAGCTGCTGCAGCAATGTGATGGAGCTTTGAGAAAACAATGTCATGCTACGACTAGACTAATCATAATAGGAAAAAAGAGACATGAGGAGAATAAGGACTGTTGGCGTATGTATGTATTTCTGAAGAATGTTTATGCAAATGTATTTTTTGTTTATTTTTTTTACTTTTTGGTCACCTGGAAAGTGAGTGAAAGGACAGGTGTTTTGGTTGTGATGTTAACGCTGTATGTGACAAATAATTTATCTGAAAACTGGGGATGCCCATCATCTTGTCCGCCTGCACCCAGGATGAAATCCATCTGGGTATTAGGAGCTTAGCTGTGCCACAACAGGCGTTCTCAAGACAAGGTCACTACACTACTGTGTGCGGTCTGACATGCAGCAGTTGTGCTAAAGCTCCTCATTACACATACAATGAACGAATCAAAAGAGAATCTCATAAAGGCCTCACCTTCTCCAGATTAACATCAGCCTCCACAATTTGGCGCAGGTCGTGTCGTGGGAGAGAGGCGTTGTGGTGAAGGAAATGTGAAAGTGTCTCGTTGTCTCTCAAGAAGTCCTTCAATTTGAACCCTGCGGAAAATCGACAGAATGTTTAGCTTGTATTGTTTTAAAGAACATGTAATATACATTAGTTTTGGCCCATTAAGATGCCTTAGAATGTGAAATAATATCATGGGGTAGAAAATATCTGGTAAAAGTATGAAGGTTACCCTTCATACTTTTACCAAGTCCCAATCCTACCACCAGAGTTGAATTTGTTTTTGTTTTAATTTTTTTTGCAAACACAGCCGTGTGATTGCAGATAACATAATTTCACTTGAGAAATGATTGGCCATAATACAATACATTCATGGGCAGTACAGTGTTTTTAAAGGAGAATACGGATGTGCGTGTGATGTCATAGTAGTACACTGGCATTGTTCTATTACATTGTGTTCTATTACATGGAGTTGCATGTTTTGCCAGAAGGTGATATTAGCATAGATGGGTCTAAAAACAACCCCAGGTCAGTTTTTTAATAAGTGAACATTTAACAAAGCTCAACAAAAGTCGATTCCTCATAATATGTCTCCTTTAGGGAATCAACAAAACAACAGTGATGAATTATTAATGACCAGTACATGTATGTCTTTTTTATAGACATTATCAATCTGCGTATTAAATGGGAACAATGGGAGGACTGTTTGTTCTTTTCCTGCATTCCCAAGATGTCATCGTCTTTATGGAACCGGCTGCAGTCGGTTTATGGACTGCAGACTCCGGCTCTCACGCAGACAAGGTTACTCCCGGTCATTCCTCTTTGCACTAAATACCAGCAAGTTCTCTCTCCATCATTTAATTTTCCCGAGAACTAATTTTCTTATTACAACAAAAGCCTCGATGAAAGTAGGTTAACCCACAAGAAATGGGCCCAGGGGCGGCTGATGTACTGCCGTTATTTTGGTAACAAACAAAGCTCTGTCTGTCTGTTATGTAAGTGTAGCTTTTATGTTAGAATGGCAACTTCGCATTCAGCTGCGACCACCTGGTAATGAAACAGGACAGGGCCAGTCATCAAATGATTCTGATTCTCTGATTCAGAATCAGCCGAATAGTCTAGCTCATGTCCACTCAGTAAATACTCCCTCAAGATTTCACAAAACAGGAAGCACTTTCTGGTCCAACAAGAGGAAAAAGAACAGCGTGTGTCGAGCCAGCACATATTTGATATTGCACATGTGTCCAGTTTTCAACGTCAAATACAAACTCAGCACTTTTTTCAGTTACCGCAATCATCCGTCTGCATGCAAGGGTTTTCATTTACTCTATCAACTCCTCAGTGGCTTAGTTTCTCTGGGGATAATGACAGGAGAGCGCTAATAAGGTATAAACAAGTGTCCATAAGGGGAAAGTCCCACGGTGCCGCACTCATTCACTTTAGTTGAAATCTCAATTGAAAATCCAGTGTCTGTGTGAACAACAGGACAGAGTCAATCGTAATCTACATATCTTGCTATATACTACATGTAAAAAAAGAGAATGTAAATGGCAGGTTGAATTTAAATGTTTCATATAAATGATGGAGAAAAAAATAGGAAATGAAAAAGATGATTTTCTCATCAGTACGTGAAAATCGGTTGTGTAGGTTGAGGGTCAAAATGACCAAACAAACCCAACAGTTTCACCTTAATCGCTCTCAAAGAGATTGCTCGATCTCTTTATCTACCACTCTATAGATAAGGACTTAAACTGGATTTCACACATGGACAAGAATGTTGTCCTCAAATCACATGTTCTGTTTTAGATCAAACAAAACACTAAATGCAAAGTAAACTTACAGTGTATATCTTATATCATCATTTGCCAAACAAGCACTATCATGCAAGCGGACCACGCCTCCAAATATTTACAGCTATAATAGTATCTTGATCAATATTTGTTTTATAACAAGAAACATGTTATGGAAGAAATGTTACGGATGTGCCACAGATAAATGATGTCTATAGTTAATCTCAAAATGACTTGCATGGAAATTATTATCCTCCGATGTAGATTTAGGTAGATTTTACTGGTCAATGTAGTATTTTGTAGTATTGCTTAATTGTCTTAAGCAATAACATTTCACTGAATTGAAGGATTCCTTTTAAAATAATAGCATTAATAATCATTCCCACTGAGGTATTTCTTATCCCATTAGCAAAGGTTTTTTGCTTGAAATATGGAATAACTTGTTTGTCAGAACCATGAAAGAGATTAAATAATGTAGACCATTAACCTCAATTAAATACACAAACAAATAAACAAACAAATTATTTCATTTATAATACTCTAAAATAGTTATTTGTGCAGTCCTCATATTTGACTGTAGATAATAATAATAAAGTCTATGCTATATTATACCCAGCCTTAACCTTAACCAAATAAACTGTAAACACAATTTTAGAAGATAGCAAAAAATGCGCTCCCTCTTTCTGAGACTAAACACAAAGAGTTGAGAGTGAGACCTTTTTTTTTAGAATAAAACTGTTTACGTTACTCTGCTCTGAACCAGCTGCCGCACGATGTACAATCAAACAAATGCTTTGCTTGACCTTAGTGCTTCATCAGTATAAATCTCTGTCCGACATTCGCTGGCTGAAATATAAGCTGCACGTGAGCCTGTTTGATCCCTATAGCTCCACTCTCTCTCCTGCACCATCCATCACTGTCGCCTTCAAACAAACTCTTCTCACGTGGCGGCATAACAACAAAATACTGCTGTACATTATATTAACGCAATGATGACGAGCAAAAATGTGGAGACAAAATCAATGGACAATATGATGAATAGAGCCAACACCACCTCCTGGCGCATAGGCTTTAAGGATTTATTACTAATAACAAAATCTTCTTTCCATTTTGCTAATGCGTGATCTTGCTTTTCAAGGCCGTGTGGATCCCTGAATGTTAAGATAAGATAAGATAAGAGTTCCTTTATTTGTCCCACAGTGGGGAAATTTCGTCACAGTAACGTTTTGGTTTCCTCTGGGCGAAAAGGAGCCTTTATTGTTTAGTTGTGTTGCATAAAAGCTCAGTATAGAAAGAACGGACAGTATATGTAAGAGTATAACAGTATGTAACATATAAAAAAGCTCTGGTTAGCCTTCAAATTCATACAACTTTATTGATCCCAGCGAGCGATTCATTCTTCTTTATCAAAATAGGAACTTTTTAAACTCAGCATTAGTATCTCCGCATTTTGTAAAAGCATTCAATGTCTTTTTCGTATTCTAAATGTACTCTTTGTCTGAAAACATGTAGTTAAAAAAAGCCACAAAGAAGAATGAGCAGCAGCATGTTCTGGGTCGAGTTGACCACAACCGCAAAGCAGAAGTAGCAACGACATTTTGGACTTGTGCCGTTTCACTTTGCCGTATAGATAACAGTTAGTTAGTGTAAATCTAAATGTACAGGCAGTATGTGCTCTTATAGTGGAGAATATCGGTTCTCAAAGTGGGGGTTGGGATCCACAGTCGGGATGAGACAAGATTTGGGGGATCGAGGTTTTTCAAGATAATATTCAGTTTTTTACTGTATTTGACCATCATTGTCAGTTATTTATTGTATCATTGAACTCACATCAGACCCAGAAATGGATTAAAGAGAAGAAAATGGACGAATGGATGGATTAACTCACATTATCAGTTAAATTAACAACACACAGACTGGCATGTTCTTATCAAATCATCACAGCTCTCAATCTTATTCAGCAGTGGGGAGTCCTCCTACAGACTGGAACATACTACAGAAAACTACTCCCGAAATGGATTAAGGGGAAGAAAAAGGATGGATGGATTGATGTCAATAGAACATGCTGTGCCATTGATCATAATTGTTCAGCCAATATTTAGTGTATGCTTTTATATAACTGTATGACTGTATTATATGCAATGTTTTGAGAACTGTAACACATTAGGCCTCTTGGAAACTGGATCTTTCCATTTTCGGGGGTCCTAACTTAAAAGCCTGTCAATCCCTGGTAATGGTTTTATTTCTGCACACTTGTGGAGGTCATTTCAGGAGCAGTGAATTGTACTTCTTGACTTTTGGGAGACAGTCTGGAGGGCGGCGATAAGAGAGGCAGAGGTCACGCCCTCGTCACTGCTTTGAGCCGAGATAAGTCACACAAGACGGAGGTGACTGAAAGACTTGACGTTTTTGTATTATTTGGTTTTTTGATTCACTTAAAATTCCTATCTCTTTCTTCTGTTGACGAATCAAATAGCATAGAGTACAGTGTTGCGTAAGCTTCTATCAGCTTGAGCATGTGCTGGAGAATGTATCCTGTCTTGTGGCGAAAGATGAAAGTGCTGTGAATGGATGACTCTGTGCTATTAAAACAGGGGGATAAGAATAATATTCTTACCCGCTGTGTTCTTCTGAAGCTTCTTGAGGGCCCTGAGCAGACCCTTGTAGCCCTCATAGCTCTTGTCGTTCTGGCTGTAGAGCAGGATCTTCTTGGCGTCAGTGATGAGACGGGAAATTCTGCGCACAATCACATACGATCATTATCATGCTAGGTCCAAACGCTGGGGTGATCGGAGGTTGTTAAGTGGATACTGGATTTTATGTTATTTTATTGTGTAGCTCTTTGGTCGCCTTGAATGTTGTAAGGAGCTCTATAAATAAACATTGATTGACTGAAAATATGCTCTAAATGTGTGCGACAACAAGAGGCATACAGATCTGTTTACAGCAGTTTAGATTGTATACAAACTGTCTCTACTTACATTGAGTCGTTGAAGTTTCCCACCATTCCAGGACTCTCTCCGGGTGTGGAGGAGCGGAAGCAGGGGTTGTTAGCGTTGCAGATGATGCCTTGTACCCAGGGCAGTGTGCCAGCGGAGGGCATGGCCTTGTTGGGAAAATGACCTGAGATGAAACAATAACATATTATCATTATATATTTTAATGTAATATCACAACATCAGCCTGCCCAGGGACTACAGGTGGAAATTAGTTCTTGAGCTATAACCTGGTACAATGCATCTTTCCCTTTGAGGTTAATGCTTATTGTACGCTGTCCCTATCATCTTAAATAAATCAACTAAACTAAACTATAAAGGAATAATAATTTTATAGATAGTATTTTTAATTTTCAGTAGCTAGCCATGTAATGTGGCTAGCTCTACTCAAGAACTACGTATATCAAATAGACAATTGACTCATTCGCATTCATAGCGCTTATCTTTATGATGAACTCTTATCAGTTGACATTTCAGCTACTGTGTTTGTATTGTGATTAATGAGATTATAATTACTTTGGCTCTAAGATAAGACAAAAGGAATTTTGACCTATATATTCTTGTTAGGGTGTTTACAGTTTTAGAAGAAAATACGTAACTTTGTTTTAATAGTCTAATATCTAAGTGCAGAGAGCAAATACCCTGCAGTCTAAAGTTTGCAGATTACTTCGTCAACAGTTTGCTAACAGTCACATGCACACAGTAAGAACAAATATTGAAATTCTGTGACGCAAGATCCAAATCAACTTGCATGTTCCAAGAAGGCCAATTGTAAATATTTTAAATTATGTTTCATATAATGGGTATTTTGGTGATATACTGTGTCATGAACAGGTGTGAAACATGCCTACTAGTACTTACATTCATGTTGCTCGTACGGGGGATAATGAACTCTGACAGAAATTAATATAAAGAAGATGAACAGAGGCCAGATAATCTCAATCAAGAGTTGGAGCTGTAAAGAAAAAAAAGACACAATGATTTACCATAAGTCTTGGATTAATCAACAAACAGACCTAACTTTTAACTTTTGAAGGAAAAGAGCTCAGATTAACTTTGTATTCATGTGGGCGCAGTCTGTCATTTGCCTGTGCACAGTAATCCCAGTGCAGCCTGGGAGGTACAATATGGGTTAATAAGGGGAGACACAGGGGAGCGTGCAGGAGCGTCCATCTGCTCCAGATGGTCCCTGCGCTTCAGCTGCGGCTCAGACTTAACATGCAACATGGATCAAGAATAAGGGCAGTGTCTTAGTCATGTCCCGCTTTTCTTTGTTAGGGACAAGTGGCCTGGAAGAGCAATGATCATAGCTGCTTCTTCCTCTGATGGACAAGTTCTGTATTTTGATAAAGTCACTGGGGCATAAAGGAGAACTGTGGCTTGATTTTCACATGACTCTGAGCAAGAATTAACCAGAACAAAATGGATGCTGCACATTGAAGAACTGTGTCACCACCAAACTTTGACTCATTGACTCAAATTACACTTCGCTCAGTGTTTGATTCAACAACAAGACTCATTTCCCATAGAAATGGCCTTCCTACGCACTGAATACATGCATCATAATAAACCCACAATACGGACATTTCCAAAAGCAGGAAAGACCGGCTCTGCTTTGTGATTTCAGTGTATTGGTCAGATGAGGAGAGAAATGCATGAACAAAATGAACCCCCCTAAAAATGATGTAAAGTTAAAATACCCATGAGTATTTGACAAATATCCAGGAACAGCAATAGTTTGACAGGACTCGGAAATATTACATTAAATTCGAAATTGTCAAGTTACAATCTTGAACGAAACATGAATTCATGTATCTATGTTCAGAAAGTTTAGAAAGTAAGAACTATTCTAAAAAGTGGAAAAGGAGCTTCAGAAAATTAAACAAAGAAGAGCATGACATTTGTTGTATGTAATTGGCGTACAACCATCAGCATAATAATAATAACTTTAATTTGGTATTGTTTTTCATAGATACATATTATAATGTTGAAAATCCATAACCCATGATAGAGTGTGGGCTCACCGTCTGTCTCCGGCGGTAGGTGAAGTTCTTCCACAGCAGTAAGCCCAGCTGAGTGGAGACTGCCATGGTCTTCTTCTCACTGAGCCCACTGCAGCTCTTCACTGGATACACACAAGACAGAGTAAAGATAAAGATTACCCAAAGCAAACAAAGGGGAACAGTGCTGACAAAGTCCAAGAAGTGGTGTGATCCACGAATAATGATGAAACACATGTGGGTAAAACAGAAAAAATAATAGTATGTGTGACAAATGTTGGCCAAAACTGTAATACCCTAACATTAACAGCTTTAGTAATTACTGACTTTTGAATATGTACCTACATTTTGCCCAATTAAAATAGTTTCTTACCAGTTTACCAGTCTGAAAGCAGAAAAACTTAAAAAAAATATATTACTATTCCGGATTCCTTTATATCAGTGATAAAACAACTCAAAGCTGGCCTCAGTAAAAGTGAGGACGTCGGAGTGTCTCGGTCCTACTTAATGTGGATGCATCTGTCCAAAGGTCGTCTGTGGGCTGTGTGAGAGTGGGGAAAGTTATTTACTGTCCTTTAATCATGTCAATAATACATTTGCTGGGTGTAGCTAAAACATTCTTGTTGATCTGATATTGAGCTGACAGAAAAAGTATAGCATGCCTTTACCTTGACAATAGATTGAAGAGATTTTGCTGTTTTAGAGAGAGGTGTTTTCTTCAAATGAATGAATATGGTATATAAATAAGTAAGTGATTAAATCAGGGATGGAGCAAAAGAAGAGATTTCAACAACCAACAGACCTTGCACAAAGCTGGATTATTTCAACACATGAATGACACACAACCGTTTCTACAAATATTTTCTGTTGGAGATCTAACACTGACTTTGTGGCAAAACAATAATTATTTAAGTTTGGTTTCAAAACCTCAATGTCGATCACGTGAAATAAGTTTATTTTGAGGTCCTACCGCCTCCATTTTGTGACAATAGCTCTTTTACACCTTAGATCTACTTTAGTTGTTACTGCATCATCATAAGAACCAAGCGTTTAGATCATGGCTGTGTTCGATTATTTGACACACAGCACCCTGGATGAATGATTCTGAATGATCTGAATAATTTAACTGTATTTAGTTGTTTTTCACAGTCTCCATAATAAAACTCAGATGAGCCGTTTCCAGCTCAGAATGGTGCAGAGCCAGAGCGCCTCTAGTGGTCATACACAACATTATCATTTTATACTTGTTTACCACAATTTCAGCGTCACGTGTTCGATCACATTTATTGTCTCTTCCTCTAAACTCTAGTTTCAATGCGACACAGAGGGATTACAGACAACATTTTGATTCCGTTGTCATAGAAAACAGACAGTTCATTGAAGAAAAACGCTTTATAATGACTGATGGGTTGTTTGATTTGAGCATTTTTCACAACTACTCATCTCTTTCTATTCTATACACAGATACAGGAAGATCAGTGAAGTATTTTATAATCTCGAGGAAGCAAATTAAATGTGACGCCACCAATCTACTAAGACATTTCGAAGTGAAAGAAACGAAACCTTTGGCTGTACTGACTAAAGTTCTTGTGTTTCATTGTTCATCAGAGCCAAGGGTTACTGTCGGTCATTGGATTTTTGCGATGCTCAACCACAGTCGTGTCAGACTCAACAAAACTTCCTCATACCCAGAACGTAGAAGCGATTTCAAAATAAAAGGCATCAGCCAAATCCAGCTCTAAACTGCGTGCAATGTGCCTCTACCGATTTGTTCCAGATGTGTATTCGATGAAGAACGCGCCAAAAACAATGTATAATGTGTATAAAGTCACAGCTGCAGTGAGACCCCTTAATGCCAAATCAAAACATACAGATATTTTATGCGCAGTAATAAACAAGCTTTTATTTTGTAATACCAGAACCGGAAGTCACGATTGAAACAAAGTATCTTGATGAGTTTTCGACCACAAAACGGACAACGGGAAAATAAAAACAAGCGAAATCTTAAAGAAATAAACACAAAACGCGGATAAACTTAGCTCAGACCATCACGTTGTATGTCAAGGCGCTTTTCCCATTCAGCCCACACTATGTCACGTCAATATATTTGCCACTACAAAGTTACACAAAGAGAAAAATCTAATCTGATTGTGACGATACAAACAAGAAAAAAAAGAAAATATCAGCTGTGATGTTTTTCACTTGTTGTTTAAACATAACTCATCCTATATGAAACTCATTTTGGAAGAACAATGAAACTCGTCATCAATCCGAAAATGTCATAAAAATGTAAAACTCACCGAGCTTGTGCTGATTTGTTTTTTAATCCCCACTCGTCCTTTAGTCATGGATAAACTCTCAGGATAAAAAGACGTGTGCGTCAAAAAGCTCGAGTCGTTAGTCCTTGTAGGCGCGCGTCTGACTGGTAAGCGATGTTTTTTTCCTTGCTCAGGGTTTTATAGTGCGGTGTGCGGAGCGGAGACTGAAGCAGAGAGGAGAGGACCGAGGAGAGGTTACCAGCGGTCAGTCTTTGTTACTGCGCCATATAAGGAAAGCACGTGCGGAGTCAAAACATCTCTTAAAGGGACAGGCACACTCATTTATCGTAAAGTTATGAAAAATACCGAGGTGGCAACCTCTAACATCTAACATTTATGGTCATTTATTAACATTTATGGATCTATAACAATGTGTTTTCTGTTTTATTTCTTGTGTTTGAACGGTTTTATTCTCTGATCTGTGTTGGCGAATTCAACTGATGTGCAAAGTCCTCCGAGATAACTGCTTTTGTAATTAAGGGCTAAACAAGAATACGTTGAATTCAATTGGCAAAAGTACTGGTCTTACACCTTACTCGATTTGATGGATAGCGTCCTTATCAATATAAGAGTGTTAGTATTAGATAGCAATATGGCCTACGTGCAGGACTCTACAAGGACTCTACAAGGACTCCATGTTATGACTATGATTTGACTGTCTCTTTGTGACACGTATGTCTTTCGATGTGTGACGTGACAATGACTATATAAACTGTGTACTGCCTTTATTCTGTCTGAGAGAAAGAAACAGAGTAAACCAGTGGAACTTGAGAGAAACTTAAATAAACTTCCAGAGTTTGGCACACCACGATCCGTCTCTGTCTGCTTAAATCCTAACAGATTTGGTGGAGAATGCGCGGCTCAGTGTGTGCCATTCTCTGGATTGTTTTGAGGGAGCTTGCTCTGTTTCTTTTCCTCTGCGTGAGAGATCGGCATGCTGTGTCTGGGAGCGGAGATTCCAGCAGGCTGGAAGAGCTGTTCCTGGATGCTTCTTGTCGCTTCTGTCACTTTTGTTTTTTTAAATTGAATATTCCGACGCGGAAAAGAGTTGGCAGACCTCTCGGACAGTCCTTGGAACCGGTTTGACAAGAATAAGGTAAGCAGACACCTTTTTAAATGTAAAGTCTGCATAATTGGATACTAGCTAAATTTGGGTGTGTTTTTGAGGTCTGTCGAACTCTCTAAATTGTGTTCAAATAAGTGAAAAGGCCATAAAGTGTGTGAAGGATCCATAAGTGAAAAGGCCATAAAGTGAGTGAAGGATCCATAAGTGAAAAGGCCATAAAGTGAGTGAAGGATCCATAAGTGAAAAGGCCATAAAGTGAGTGAAGGATCCATAAGTGAAAAGGCCATAAAGTGTATAGGATCCAAAAAGTGTTGGCCATAAAGTGTATAGGATCCATAAGTGAAAAGGCCTAAGTGAAACCATGGTGTAATAATAAAAGCAATTTTTAAAAAGGGAAACGTGTTAAGGAGGCCTTTGTTACAAAAGCTTTGAAATTGACGAATTTCAGGCTGATAAATGACAAAAGTACATAAGCAACAATATTTCAGTGATCACGGTTTAAATTACATACAGAAAAAGGGAGTTTTTGTTTTTGGAGTGAACAGAGTTCACCGGAGAATGCAGAGTTTTATCTAAAGTTGAGCTATGAGAGCTTTCGTGAGTTATTTACATTTTTTTACCGAGTTTTATCTACAGTTGAGCTATGAGAGGGTTGTATCCAACAGTTGTTTTTGTTTTTTAGAAAGAGATTTTGAGTTTAAATTAGTTTGCTACCTCGATAAAATAGAAGCGTACGTTAAAGACAAGAGTGCCTTTTGTTACAAGTGTGGAAAGTGATCACTTCTAGATTTGGATGACAAAAGTATAAAGAACAACATCAGTTATATTCGCTTAACAAAGTAATCTTGAAAGTTATTCTTCTGTATCTTTCTGCCTGTGTGTGCGCGTCTGTGTGAAAGGAACCCCCCCCCGCCCTCGCTGCTGCTGAGCTGCTGCTCTGATTTAAAGGGGAACTACTGCTTTAGGAATTTGGCTTTTCATAGTAGTTATTCCGTTAAATTTGCTAAATTTGCCATTTGAACATTGTGTTAGACACAGTTAAACGTTTTTAAACACCATTAGTGAAGAAGTTTTGAATTAGTATGTTTTTGAAACCCAAAGATTAGTACAAAAAGCTTTGCTTTTCTTTTTAAATCTGCTGCTTATTTTGTGAGTCCATTATTGTATCTCTGATATATTTCATAGCTGTTTGTGAGAATTTTTTCATGTATTTTTTATTTTAGTTACAAAAGCCGTTTTTCAAACATTTAAATTAAATTTAAATCTGTTAAAAGTGATTAATGATTGTAGACTTCGTCTAAAAAAGAAAGAGGGAATTAGGCTGTAAAAGTATTATATTATTAAGTTAAACTACCCAATTCACCCAATTCACATTCAAGCGGTGACTTTTGTTTTTGTTTTGACTACACGCGTGACCTTGCTGCTGCTCAGAGACATGAGGAGGCAGCTCCGACGCACAATTGAGTTTTATTGAACCAAATCCAGTTTAGCTGGAGCTAAATCTTTTGTTTGATTTCAAGTTTTGTTTTAAATGTTTTTACAAATTAATGTTCATTTTTATAGAGATTTTTCATAATTTCATTTCATGGCGTCTTTCAAGAAACCCAAGGACGCATAGATAATTAATCACACAGTACAAAAGTATATAATACATGTTTTAAAGTCTAAAAGGTTGTTTGTTTTGAGTATAATTGTTGTTTTGATAACTTCTTTAGTTTCTGGTTTTAAAATGTCATCATTAGTAAGAGAATAAGTAATCTTTATTTACATAGCGCTTGGGAAAGCCAAGAGCGCTCAAATTGTTTTGACTTCAGAGAGAAAAACAATCTCATTCGCATACTGATATCTATTGTTTTTTTAAATTGGCTGTTTCAAGGATTGTTTTTCAGACTCTGGCACACTGTGGGAGGGGTCACTGCTGGACACTGGACAGCGCAAAGCCCACCCAGCCACAGGTCACAGATCAAAGAGCAAAGGAAAATGCCACCTCCTTGCCCCTCCCCACGCCACTGCAGAACTGAGTGGGTGTGAGAGAGACCGGGGCCATGAAAGAGAGGTATCTGGAGACGTGATGGGTGGAGCGTCAGGTAGAGACCTAGAGGGAGTTGAAAGTGTGTCCAGTTGGTTTACATCACCACAGTGTGACCTTTGAGACCTACAGGTGGTTCGTGGAGTCTGGAGAGACAACCCCAAAATTCATACACACACACACACACACACACACATCACACTCATACACTCACACATTCACATTTACATATAGATACATGAAAAAGCAGAACATGAGAAAAAAGCATTTTAAAAGTTTACTCCAATGTAAACACATATTTTTAATTGTCTATCACTTGAATCTTTAGTTGAATCAGTATTTTTTGAGACCAGAAATGTTCATTTGAATTCTATATTGTCATGGACTTAATTGACCTCTGTCCTGACACTTTTGATTTGTTGATTTTGTACTGTGTGAAGTAATTACATTGATGAGAATTAGATCTGATAAAAACACAAATTAGAGAAGTAAACTGCGCTTGCTTTTTGTCTGAGAGACATTAGCAACAGCATGAATAGAAATTGTCTTTAAAGTAGAATCAAAGTGACTTAACCATAGAGAGTAACTATTGCATAACAAGCTGTGTACAGGAACTGAGACACTGCACCATTGACCAGAAGTGCGTCGCAAATGACCTGATGTGCTTCAACTGAAAAGACTGTATCTGGAGATCTGATGTCCAACTGGAGAACCAGAACCATGGCTTGGACCCTACTGATGTCCAAGATGACCTGACCTGATGACGACTGAGACTCACCCTCAGGGGACCCTGAGGACCTGAGGACCTGAGGACCTGAGAGAAAACTGGGGAGTGATGTTTATATTTTTGAAATCATACATTGATGAGTGCTAAATGAGAGAGATACTCATGATTCCTTCTTTTGTTTTTGTTTGTCCCTAGCTTCTGGACATCTGATGATCTATTGGACACAGCCGATTTGCAGAACAAGAACCAGCCAATGAAACGTCTATTGCTGATGCTATTGCTACAACCAGAACCACAACTGTGACAAATGCAATATACATGTTAAGTATTCAGACATCTGACAGACAAAAACTTTGACTTTTTTAGTCTGGTAGACTGAGCAACTGTTAAAAACTTTGAAAATGATAAAGTATGAGTATTGTAGCGTTTTAGTAGATGTTAAATAGTAGTAAAAGAGTAGAATTTGACTTCCTTTGTTGTTCATAAACATATTTCCACGTAAGAGTTAAAATAGTACCCTACAATGTTATCCTTTTGATAGATCAGCTAAAATATTAGAATCAGAGTTATGTTACAGCCATTAAAAGTGACAGAAGTCACAAGCTAGAAATATGCCTTTGCTCAAACTGCAGCCAAACTTCAGAGTAACAATAGTGTAAAAATAGAATTAGATAAATGCATCAACCATAGATGCTTTCAAAAATAGAGAATATTCTTAGCCAGTGCTAATATCAAATGGTAAAGGGACCATTTCACAAGCATTTACTTCAAAAGTAGATAAAGTTAATTACAGTTTATGTACAGTTTTATTAGATACTGCCAAATTCACTTGTGTTCACACATGAGTGAATGTTGACAATACAAAAAGTTCATATGAGTGTAGCCTAGATTAATGCCTAGATCAATGAGATAGATTACAACCAACAGAGATTCAAAAGCATTTAAAAGCATTTTGATGCATTTGTGTATAGCACAAAAACACAATAGTAGATATTTAGATATTGAGAAGTTTCCAGCACAAACACCATTGTAGAATAACTGACCCCAACCCCAAACCTGCTAAAATAGATTAGCTCTTGTAAGGATAATAATAATTTGATTAAAGATGTTCATTCATCCCAAACTGCCTGACAATAATATCTTTAGATAATAAAAAGTAATAAATCACTG